GGTTCTGAGGAACGAGGGGTGGTCCCACGTGATTTCATCCCTCGCCGCTGCTTCTACAATTTATCGGCCGCCGTTCCCGCCATCTTAACGCCGCGACGCGACGCGACGCTACGAACAGCAGATAATTCGCGCCCTCCGACCGAAACACGAGGAATTTGAATTTTCATAAGCAGGCGTGCTCTCGGGTGACTTTGGGGCGGCTGTACTAATCCTTTTCACGAACGAGCATCTTCAAACATTGAAATTGTAATCGTTCCCGTGGAACACCAAGCTGAACAAACGAAGATATCTTAACTTCTCATCTCTTCCATCGCGCTTCTCAATAGTAATTACTTTCTTTCCAATTATTCATTCGGAGGTTCGAGAATATATAACAATCTCGCATTATTCTTACAATCTATTAAAAACCAGTCAATTCCTGAAGTTTCATCAAATAATTGAAGTTTCAAATAAAATACTCCTACACTTTCCAAACAGCAACATCAAGAACCACCGAACAACGCGATAGAAACCGACTCAGCTAGTAAATTTCAAAGAGAAATCGGTCGTTTCCGAAGCTGGATTATTCTCAGTCGCGTAAAACAAGAACCACGGAGTGTCCCGATGAAAGAGCAACAGGAAATCTCTCGAAGATCGAGCGCGCCGGCGAATCCATCGTCTTCGCTGGAGCGGAAGTGATCCAGCCTCGAAGGGACGTTTCCTGTTGCGCGGGTCTCGCGGAAACGATGGACGTATTATCGTTATTGCCGCGTCCCCCCGGGAGTGGCTCGATAGTCGGACAGGAAAAAAAACGAAAGACGAAAAGAGAGCGAGGGAGAAAATCAGAGGAGAGAGCGGACCGAGGGAAATGTTCACCGTTCCTCGATACACAAGGCCGGAGGAATTCCCTCGCGAGCGCGGTTTCTGGCAGCCACGTAAAGGCGTCGCGTCCACTTGTCGAAAACCCGGCCACGTTTCAAGGAAAGAAGAGAAACGGCCTTCTTTTTGGTGATCGCGCGACACGTGGTCCGCCAAGGACTGGTTAAGTGGCCGGCGCGCACTGAATGCTTAATGGAAATCGTGAAAAGGCGATTGCATCGAATTAACCGTGCTCGACGGAATTTTTTCACGTTGCGGCGTACTACGATTTCTCTGTGATCATCCTTGTCGATGATTCTTCTTGGACTTTTTGGCATTCGTTTTGCAAACGAAAGTCGGAGCTTCGTTGTTGATTGTATTTCAATAGTAATTTACTAACGGTAACGGTGGTATTCGATTAGGACGGATAATTAGCAGATCTTGGGTTTGATGTGGAATAATTCAGTAATTTGATTAATTCGGACGGTGATTCGGTTATTTTAGTAACAGTTGGAATTCCTAATGCTCTTCGTGGATTTGTTTGTTAAAAATAGCACGGATAGTTCAGTTAGTGGAGATGTTAAAAGAAGGTCCCGGGGGATTGTGTGTTCGTTGTATTTTGAAGTTCTAAAGGCTGATACAAAGCAGACGATCATTAGCGGAATTAAAGTGAAATTCTCGGTGTCAGCCGTGTTTACGGCGGCCCGCGAGAACCTGAAATCCCAAGAAACATGTGTTCCGAGCAGGAAGCGGATTAATACCCCATAATGCCTCATATTTCTCCGCGACTTAGGTTCCGGGATCCACAGGAATACCCTGTGGATCTAATATTAGACGCTTTCTTCTAATTCTCTCCTCTAAACTTAGACGCGACGTGAAAACAAACTTGCGCCAGGCTTCCGAAATAGTAAACACAACAATGTTCACTGCATTAACAACGGCAATAAAATTGTACGCAGTCCACGTCCCGCGTAACCGCTACAAACATGCATCGGCTGCTGGAAAAGCTGCATTCCATTGCGAGAAGACTCTCCGGTTCTCTAAATCACGAAATGAAATAGGTTCCTAACTTCCCGTTTTCGGCGGAGAGTGCACTTCGTTTTAAAAGTGTATGTTCAAAATTGTTGAACAGCAATTGCACGAGAAGAGGGAGGAACAAAGTGTTCCGAGATAAAGTACCCTCGAGCTTCCGAGAAGGAGACTTAATTAAAAAGAGGACAATAAGGTCCAGGAACAGGCAAGCCGAGCGTAGTTCGCCGAATCTAGATCCCGAGGGTGCTTGTCCTCGTAAGTATCGCGTTTCCTGGTGCGTTGCAAGAAGCATCGCCGAAAAGACGCGACACTGCTTCCGGTCGGGAATGGAAGGGCGGGAAGGAATTAATTAAACGGCAGACATTGGGTAAATGGAAGAAAGGTACACCGGAAAATAACGGTGTCCAGGGCGTCGTGCTAGTTTATTGCGACACCCTGATTGTCAGGCGAGCTTCCTTTCGTAAATCTCTTCGTCCTCGCGGGGGCGGAGGCGTGGGCGAGTTAACCCTTGACTCTTAGGACGCCGAGCGCTCCATCGAGACGGTCTAGGAATCAGCAGCCTCTTGATAATGGACAACTTCAATCTCTCGAGTCCTTCGGTTCTCGAATAAAACAGTTGAATCGTTGACCAGTTAACTGTGGAATTTAGTCGGAGAAACTTCTCGTTCTGCGCGCAACGAAATCGAAAAATGGAGCGTGCACTCGTCGAACGCAGGACGAATGCACGTAGAGTATGTTTTAATGAAGGAGCAAAGCGAAACAAAGAAGAATTACGTGTTTATGTGAAAAAATAAAGAATTCATCGCTGAAAGAATTAGTATCATTAGTTTAGTTTTAATAGTTGAATATTCTCGTGTGAACCCGGAAATGAAGAATAAAAAATGTGTCGTTCAATCGTTTGATTCTTTCCGTCGACAAATACCTGGAACGGACGGCGATATATTGAAAGTCCCCTATAAAATTTTGGATCGTTGAAATTGCGATCGGTCGCGTCGTAAGAGTAAATACAATATGGAGGAAATAGGTTTTCCCGGCGAACGGATTATTGATCGTGATATTTATTATTCAGCTAACTGCAGTTGCGCGAGTAATTACTTTACTCAAATAATTCCGAAAGTCTGGATATTATCAGCCGAATTGATTTTAATGATGCATTGTCGCTAATTGTTTAATCACCCAAATGGAAACGTCGCACAGGCTATTCATTACTGCTCAGTCCATTGATGACTGTTTATCTAATTCAATTTGTATTTTCCGACTGTTTTAGGTTCTAATAGATTACACGCGAAACTCAGGTTACACGGGAACCGCCATCTTTACGCACGAAGTTTTAATTACGTGCCGCGAAATCTTCGAATTATCAAACTATCCTCAAACTTTCTTGCGCTTCACTTTATTCTCAACAAATTCTCCATTAACGATACTTTCATTCGTTGATTTTAGGTAAAGCGGTGCCATTCGTGGAGTTGACAGTGGCTCACGCCTCGGTTCTGACGATCTTAGCGATCAGCTTCGAGCGATATTACGCGATCTGCGAGCCTCTGCGAGCAGGGTAAGTATTCTAAACGGGAACAGAGTGTTCTCAAGCATTCCCCGAATAGTATGCTGAAAAAGAACAGAGAAAATTAAGGTTGAATATAATGAAAGGCACAAATTTACGTTAGAATCTCCCGTTAATCCAGCCGGTTGCATTCCCTCACGATTGAAACATTCTTCAAAGGCACCGGCCTCACGTACAGCACGAATTATCGCCGTCCGAAATCCTTTGAAGAATATTCTAGCAGCAATTAACAACCGGTTGTTTTAACTCGTTAAACTGCCGCTGGAATCACGTCCGTGAAGCTTTTTCAAGATTAAAACCCTGTTATTTGTAATTAAAGTTCGTTACAGTGGCGATCCTTTAATCGCCTTGAACCCGAATGAAATTCATTTGACGAACTACCGAGCATTTGTTACGATTAATGTGTAATCCCTATAAAAATTGTAACGATACATTATTTCCAGGTTCTTCAGACGTTCATTATAGTATTCAAGATATCAATAATCGCGAAACAAACGATTCGAAAGCGATCATTTCGTCCGAGTTCTAGCGTTAAACAGCAATCGATGCGGATCGCGTTTGACGTATCGTCAATCCCCATGTCAGTCACGGCGCGGCCGCTTATCTTCTCGGGTCCCGATGGTTTCTCTACACCCGCGACTAAAACTTGTATCGTCGCCGCTTTCCCGATACGATTGGTATTAGATCCGTGTATCGCGGCAACGATCTCGGATGACAGTCACGATTCGCGAAACGTTACTCCTCGCGCGCGGCCACGGGCTGTGTACCGCTGATTTCTATCTTCTCTTTCCATTTCTTTTTCCAGATACGTGTGCACGAAGGCCAGGGCGACGTTCCTGTGTCTGTTGGCGTGGCTGGCGGCTGCTCTCTGCACGAGGTGAGAAAATGCAAACGAGGGAACCGATATCGCGACCGCTTTCCACGCTTTTCTCTCGAACCCCTTGCCGCACCATTTCCTTTACTATCGGTCGTCTCATTCACTTTCGTACTTTACAGCAAAGTTATATTTAAATTGCGCGCTACAATCATAGAGAAAAGGGTTCTCAGTTTTGGCAATTACGAGATCTCTTCAATTTCTACAGAAAACGAATGAATTTAGATAATTAGTTCTGTTCGTCGCTGGTGCAAGTTTAGTTCGGAAAGATTGAGACTGGCAAAGTAATGATCCATTTTCATTAGAATGAAAGAAGAATCGAAGAATCTTCGATTTAACGTGCAATCTTCAATTGTGCGACGAGGGGTTAATCCTTGTGTCAGCAACCGACCATTATCTCATCTTCTTCTAGGCAATTTGTTACGTTTTTGTGGTAATTTTATGGAATTCCGTCGGCTGTCAACTGTATTAACATTCTTACAATAATTTGTGCTTTGAGAATAAACAAATTCACACGGATATATCGCGATGTGGAAGTTTCAACAAACACAGCAGTTTCGGTTGCTAACGCAAGGGTTAGGCTGACAGCACGCCAAGCTTTTGCATTCGTTTTCCTTTTTGTTTCGCTTCTTCTCGCTTTCGCTCGGGTTCCCGCCTTTTCTTCGTTCGCGTTCCATCCGCGTCACGTCCGGCTGACGAGAAAAAGCGCGAAAACCGAGAAGAATGAATCGTATTCGTCCGTTTTTTTTTGTTTCGCCTGCGACGGAGGTTTTAACCTGTTTTTTGGAATTCTCGATGTTTGCTGTTTTTCCGTCCGTGATTTAATTCGCGAGTTTTCTGTGGAGATCGCATGACCCATTTCTAATGTAATCGTACTATGATTTTTCGTTTCTTCGTGTTGGAGTAATGAGAGTTCTGTCAGTAATGAAATTCTTTCATTTTTTCGTAGTTTCAGTCAGTCGTTGGAGAGTAAGCAGGAGTCTCTTACTTTAATTTAGCAAAACGCTTGTGCTGAACAACGCTGTAATAATATATTTCCTTCTGATAACGTTCGATAAACTTTCAATAATTTACTCAACGCGATACATCGATAACCTCTGTTCCAACAACAGAACTAAAGTTCCGCGATCCGCCATTTTGAAGCAATTCATCGATCACGAGATCGAGCCATTTAAATTACAGAATTAATCTTTCCATTGCTTCCATGTGTATCGAGCGAACCTTTTTATTCTCCCAATTAACAGAAATACGTTATAATTCGATCTAACCATTGAGAAATTCTATATTTTCTTGAAAGTGTCGCAAGCCCGAGTCCGCCATGTTCCAAGATGGCGGCCGCTGGGCCCGGGCGAGGCCCGCGAATCGTGACACGAATTTTTTCGGCTCGATTACGGAGGCGTTCCCGATCGGAAATCATTCGGAGATATTAAACGCGATCGCCCTCGGATGTAAACACAGGCCGGCACACGGGGGACTGTGAAATCGCGAATTGCAGTGAATCACGGCCGTTAACGCGCGCGCAATAACGTTTGTTCCGTTTAACTGCACTCTCCGACCGACATTTTTAGCGGATTTTATTATACGGCCATTGTTCCCGCGCCTACGCGCGTTCGTTTCACATAACAGGTGCCTTCGAAAAATCGTCCCGCGAGCGATGCGGTGTCGCTTGATGCAAATGAATTCCATTGACACGATTTTAACACGATATTAACTCTAGATTCGCAGACATTTAATGTGCACTTCAGTGTAGCGTGAGTTTAGAGGGAAACGCAGGTTTCTTTCATTCATAGATTTTAGAAATTTGGACTGGGATGTTCTTATAATTCAGTCGAAATCGACAGAAACTTTTACCGAATCATGCTTCTGAGATTAAATACCTCTTACATTTGCGGGATCTGTAAATCTAGTCATTCTTTTATAGCAAAGATGTATTGCAAATGATTATTTATTTGGTAGCAGAATTCTTACTACAATATTACTTAATTCATTGCTTTATTGTTACAATCTTATTGTAATCCTTTGTAGAACGCTGATCGTCGGTGGATAGCAGTGAACGTGTAAATATTCGCGACATAAATTTGAGTTGTTTCTGGAATGGCTTCTCTTGCAACAGGAATGTTTGTTTTCAATTAATTCGGCGGTGTATTTATTTTACCGGATAAATATATCAACAGGCCGGTATCGTATAATGCAATATTGATCGCTTAATTGTTTGCTGTCTTGATAACGTCTTCGTTGGAAGTTGATTCTGCGGCACCCGGTACGTGTCGATGATTTTTGCATGCGATTGTCTCTGAATGGGAGGAGTAACTGCTTCTCGAAATGACTTTTCGTAGAAAACGACGAAACGCATGGGAACGGTGCGTGCACAACGGGAGTGCGTTTATTTCTAATTCGATGACTCTTTGGGAGATGCTTTCGTACCATTTCCATTTCTGTTTATACACTGCCCTCGTTTCCCTCGGTTCTGACGAGTGCGTCGAGCTAGAAAAATTGTGTTGCGTCGCGACAAATTGGAATCGCGAATTAAACAGGCGCCGTACACTGCCTGACCGTTTTCTAAATACCGCATCATTATTTTATAAATACTATCAGTTTAAACATTCAGAACACGAAATTGCACAATGAATTCTGCACAATTTCACATTAAACAGCTTAAAATAAACTATTTATACGCGAGATCTTTCTTTAATCTTCTATAACACTAAAACTATCGCGCAATTATTACAAAGGTAACCGATGTTCCTCTAAGAAATTATTAACCAGTTAACTGTGAAATTTATTTGGGAAAATCTGGTTCTGCGCGGAATAAAATCGAAAAATGGAGCGCGTACTCGTCGAACGCAGGACGAATGCACGTAGAGAAACAAAAAATAATTACATGTTTATCTGAAAAAATAAAGAATCCATCGCTGAAAGAATTACTATCATGTCAAGCTTTACGACGACGTGTATACTCGTCACAGTTAACTGGTTAAAGAAATCGATTCAGCGATACGCAAACTAAATGGTAAATCAATTTTCTAGCTTCGGTAGAAGCACTCTTCGAGTTTCTATAAAGGAACGTTCAAAACGTCGATCGAACTGCTCGGTACTTTCACTGTTAACAACCCACGAAAATCGAAGTCGTCGCTCGTCCAATAAAAGTTTGAAAAATCCCGTTCCCTCGGTAGGCTCGAGAGGACAACCGTCGAATACGAATCGAGAGGAAATGGAAGCTAAAAGGCAGCTGTTGCTCGCGATTACACTATACCTCGCAGGTTTCGCCGATTTCGCAAGACGTTCGCAATCTCCTGCCATGTGTTGCCATACCACCGCCTCCTCTGTTCTCCTTCTTCCGCTCTGTTGTTGCACGCGCGACGAATTCCTCCCTCGGCGGCAATCGCGAGGAAATTCCGGCCCCCGTAGGAATCGATACGGGCCGCGGCGGCGATAGGGGGAATCACGGCGACCCGCAAAAGCCTTAATGGGTCGTGAGAGATTTTCCGAAAAAAATTCCGCGGTTCCGATAAAAATTGAATGGAAACCAGCGAAAAACGTGTGACGCGCGCAGCTTCGGGACAGCTTTACGATTGCCGCGCGTGTGTGTAGTACGCGCGTCGGACTAACAATCAACGGAATTTCTTAAAACTGGAACGTGCGCTGGGAAAATTTTATTTTCTCGCCGGTAACGTCAGCGCATCGGGTTTCTAAATAATTTCCCGACCTGTGCATTTACATTTTTATGCGTGCACATATATATATGCATGCGTTCACCTCTCGCCGTTGTATGCTCGAATCTCGGACTCGTTATGAACATTGTGATGAATATTCGCTGGAAATAATTCACCTCGTTCCGATAGAACTTGGAACTGACGGGAAGTTTTTAGAGTAATTGGTAACTTCGTTAAACGCTGGCCTGAAGTATTCGCGAGGAAGTTTGTTTCTAGGATTATCATTCCGTTTCTACTTCATAAGTTCGTTTCAGGTATTCTCTTAATTTACTTTAGCTTTATATCTACTTTCTTCGGGTTTCAGTTTTATTTCAAATGGGAAATAACTGAGGATTTTTCTTTTGCTCGTTGTATATTTCAATTAAAACTGTTTTGATGGATATTTGATTCAACAAAACAGATTGGCCGTAGCTGGTTCGTTGTATTTGGAGGAGGTTCTATAAATTCGACGACACTGCACGAGAATGCCAATTGCAAATGTCATTATTAGCAGAAGAACGCCGTGTCATTAAGATCCAATCGGTCGTGGAAGAATGTTCTCAATGAAGCGGACGCTCTTTCAGGATTACATCAGTATTCTCATGAATAAGCTTGATGCAACAATCTCTTCTGGGACATTAAGCGGAAACGCCATGGACGAGCACTTTGCGTAATTAAACGTATCGACAGAGAACAAACGAGAGGAGAACGAGGAATCTTTTGAGAGGCTGTCGCAACAAAATGGAGCCGGTGCTTCTTATTTAAACGCTACCTTATCGTCCCCGTTACGACAAACATGCAGTTGCGTCGCTAATAAACTCGAATGCACTTTGAAAAATTAATTTCACCTTAATAATTCCAAATAAAATTTCTGATAAAGCTATCGAATAAAAGATATTTTCCATATTACGGTCTCCATTATTTTATTAATGATATTCAACTAAGAGACAATGATCGTACACGGACGAAATTACGGGAAAATATGAAGTAGAATTTTTATTCAATATTGAAAGGTCATTTTACATGTACATTCGCAGTTCCAGGCGGTAGGAACGACAAGAAACGAACAGTCACGTCAGTCAAGCTCCACTGAATACACCGCGATGTATAACAGCCCGCAGAAACACAAACTCAATTTCCCGCGGAATGAAAACCGCCGCAAAACAATCTTATTCTATGTTTTCGACTTAGTTCCTCCCTACTTTCCTCGCTCCCTCGCCTTAAAGAGAGTTGTATTGCAAACGCAGCAACCCTCGGAGCATCTGGCTCGTTCTCCGTGCACACGCGGCAAGAACAATATTATTTTTATCC